TTAATAATATATTTTAAATAATATATTTTAATAATATATTTTTAATAATAAATTTTGATGCATGTTTATATAGAAAAATTCTCAGAAGGAAAGGTTGAGATTACTTATTAATTAAAAAAAGTGTCAAATGCGAATGTAAAACAACTGAATTTTAAATAACAATCGTAATATTTATATTTGTGGAAATATTTTTTAATTCTTTTTGATCTCTTAATTTATTTGTACGACGGAAAATGTTAATATAAGAGGGAGTCGAAACATGTTGGCATTTCATTCTTCGTAGTAGCTTGAAAATGTGGTCATTTTAGTCACTGAAGCGCAAGAGCATGAAAGAGAAACCGGCGTACACACGCGACTGCTAGCGATCCCACGATAACTAACTGTCACCGACTGCTTATAAATGCGCGATATTTATACGCCGAGACATACACGCGCACATGCGGGAACGATAGTAGCCGCCAAGCAAGATAAAAGAGTACGAGTGAAGAGACGCACACGTGGGCGTGTGGCGAGATCGAGATGGTTATAAGTAATTCATCGCCTCGCGCGCGTAACGCGCAACCGAGTTGGCGGCGAAGTAAATACCGACGACGTTGGCGCGCACTAACTCAACCGACGTCCGTGCGTCTTTCATTGCGTCTATCTGCGGCTCCAGAAACACTCGAGATCCGAGCGACGTGTGACACGCGGTTCCTTCCGTTGCTGTAATTAATGTACCTAAGAAAATAACATTAAAAAGAATTGCGCGCGATTCTTTTCTTTTCATTTTATTCATACGATTGCGTAGGCCAGATCGAAAAACAACAATATAAAAAGCAATGATTGAATACTTGATTATGGATTATATTAAAAGAAATGATGGATTGGTCAGACTCTAAATAGTCTCTGCGCTGTATGTTCTCCCCATGACGTTCATTTCATAGCGACTGCTCGTCGGCATCTCGTCTCGCTCTCTCTCCTTTTCCATCTCTATCTTTATCCACTTGGTCGGCGTTCACGTGTATACTTTGGCATTATGTATCCTAATGTAAATAAATGCCCAGCACTCGACGGTGCGACCTTACGATGGCCGTTAACTGTTAACGACGAACGACCACGGCGATGCGACGAGGAGAAAACGCTTACGGCGCACGTAAAGAAGTAACAGCGGATTCGGTTAGGGCGGACTGTGCGCTATGCGACAGGAGATGAAAAAGAAACGAAGAGTCCGATAAAATGTGACCGAGGGCTCTGGTAAAAGGGAGAAAGGGTGGTGGCGGTGCTGAAGGGACGCGATGAAGAAGGTTGAGAGAGAAAGAGAAAGAAATAGGAAGAGAGGAGCACATCGACACACGCAGACGCAGTTATCTATTCCAATTAACCTCTTACATTTCGTTCCCTTCTACTAAATCCCTCCCCCCTCCCTCTCTCTCTCTCTCTCTCTCACTTGCATAGGTTGCATAGGATCAAATTTGTATAAACTTCGATGCATGCGATGTAACGGTTAATGAAACATATCAAACGCGCTGTGGAACGATTGAATTCATCCCCCTCCCTCTCTCTCTCTCTCTCTCTCTCTCTCTCTACTTGCATAGGATCAAATTTGTATAAACTTCGATGCATGCGATGTAACGGTTAATGAAACATATCAAACGCGCTGTGGAACGCATAATAACATTGAATTCAAAGCTGAAACTAATATCAAGGAAGATGGGAATACACGAAATATCTGTTACCGTTCTCTTGGTTTGTGAAATTAGAGGTGTGTAATCTGATATATTATGTGTTTACCGCCTTGAATATAGAATATTAATTATTTTGGAAAATATCGAAATATACAAGTCTCGACATTTACGATTATTTATTTTTATATCTTTTTTAGCAAACGTGTCATTTGGTTTTATCATTTCTTTTTTATCGATATTATCCGAATTAAAATTAAACGATTTGAAAATTTTATCTTTCCAAAGGCTTTTTATCTCAATAGAAATTTTTTCAAGCTTTAAAATGATGTTAAAGATACTGCGCAAAGTGCATAGAAACATATAGATATAACATACCTTATTGTAGATGGTTATATCGGGTACTCCAGGGCCAGCACAAGTGAGCACGTAATGCGAATTGTCAGTGGAGAATATAGCGCTATTGTACAAACAGCGACTGCCGTCCTTCTCTCTGACAATGTTACAAGTTAAACACACTGACTTGTGGTCCATATCTAACAGCGACACTCTATATAAATGCTGAACTGCCGAATTGTGTTTCGAAGTTGCCAAGTAATATCTGCAAAACAGAAGAAAGAAATATTTTTATTCGATAAATATTTGTAAATTTGACAGATCTACTCTCGATATATTGATCGATCTTTTCGCGCGAATAATTGTAATATTTTTAAAACATTATCCTTTTTTTTCTTATCTTTGAATTAACTTTATCTTTATACGTAATACGATAATTTGAGAAAGAGATCGTCGTTTTACACGGTACACGTGTGTGCGAGGGGGAAAAAATATTGCGCGCATTAGAATAACGTCGCCGCTAAGAAATTAGTTCTTCGATATCTGCATTGTGGGACATGGAGAACACCTGTTGCGACTCTAAGATACCCGCGATAAAGGGGCGGTGGCGAAGACAAATTGTCTACCAAGCTCGATGCCACCACACCAAGACGATATCCCGAGCGAGCGTATATATTTAATCGACTATTATTATCTTTCGCTAATTCCTCTCTCCGTCAATCGCCCAAGTGATTTCGCGAAACGGTGTCCCGTTATTAATAGCCAAGAACACTGCTAGACAGAAGCGCGCAATTTCCATATGGACCGCGTGACAGTCCATCAGGATGCCAATTTATCGAGTTGTTCCCGTTCTGAGCTATCAAGCGGCTACCGTTGACAGAATGCTACCATTAGATACAATCAGAAAGCTGATGGTGTAAATTGCGACTATTGACTGACTGCTGCTTGCCGGTACCGCTCTGATGCGATTACGCATTAATCAGATCTATTGTTCTCCGCCGGTTCTCAATACTCTCTCGGCAAGCGATGTGTTACGTAAAATAACCGATTTCTTTCTATCGAAGATCTCACGCGATTGACATTAGATATAGAGCCGAAAAATACATGTGAGAAAATTATATAAACATAATGCTTTTTTGTTGCGTCTTAAAAAAACAAAGAATAACTCGATGAAAATTTTTACTCGAGATAAACTAAAAAATGAATTTCATTTTAAATTTGATTCGTGAAAATATATTTCTAAATGGATTAAATACATACAAGGGATGATAAAATAACATGTGAATATTTCCACGTCAGCACTACCTTGCAGTTTGCCGCTAGCTTTATGAAAACGCGTAACCTGTGTGAGATTATTACATATTTAACGAGATAAGGATCCCTTAAAGTTTCGAAATCCAAAGATCAAGGGCATGTTCATGAATCCTCTATTGCCCGCGGAAACCAAGGGGGAAACCTAGCAAACACGTTAAGTCGCCAGCAGTTCTGCCGAGCTGGTAAGATAGATGACTCGGGGTTATTTAGAATGGATTAATTCGAGCATCCTGTTAATTTAGCCTATCGCATCAATCTTGAACGACCTCGAGCCGCACATTGCCGTCATTCACGCGCGAATATCCGCGAATCGAGAACTTCTGTGGGCTCTCCGCCTCTTCGCGCCTTTCCGCGAAAATGAAGATCGATCGATTTCAAGCAAGTCGACGGGTCGTTTCCGGGACCCCCGGGACTCCGCCCGGCAGCTGATAATTCATTGTCATAATCGGGGATGACAGTATTACGGCAGGATTAAATCCTGCGGTTAGGTGTACGCGTTAATCAGAGATACGCTGCCTCTTTACAACAAGTTAGGGATTATACGTCAAAGGAACTCTGGAAACAATTTGCGAAAAGCGTATATTCCTTAATTTCGTACGGATTATATATAAATATAAGCAGAGCAACCTTAAATTGAAATCGCGTTATAATTTTCATATAATTTGGAATTATTTATGAACAATATTGCGTTTTAAGATTTTAGACTTTAAAGATTTTTCACGGTGAACATGATTATCTCAAATTCCAAAACAAATTACGAGAAACGTCTTTTACATTTGCAATTAAGAGTTACGTAACTTCTCTCAAATTTAAGAAAATCAACAATTTAATAAAAACTTTTCTTTCAGTATTAATACAATATTATTAAGTACTTAAATAAAAATTTTCAGCTTAAAAAATAATCTTTTTTTAAAAGTTATGCGAATATTTGCAGATTTATGTTTTCATGCACACCGTGCATGAAAACTCGGGCTACGTTCGATGGATTGACTTCAAATTTTGCATGCAAGTTCTTAATAAGATTCCATATCTGCTAACGAAGCCTTTTTTTTAAGCCGATTTCCCATTTTTTTTGTTATAAACAAAAAAAGATGGACTTTTTTCAACACGCCGCCCTTTTTTCCTATTTTTGAAAATTTGGAAAAAATCCTTGGATAGCAAAAGCTATTAACGTTTAATAAAAAAAAAGCTTGTGTTTTTTATTTCGGATATGATTTACAAACGTTTTCATGCACACCGTGCAGCCACCTAAAATTTGGAGGAGCTCTGCAAATGTTCTCATAACTTTAAAAAAAAAATTTTTTAAAGCTGAAAGTTTTTATTTATGTGGTCAATAATATCGTAAAAAAAAATAATAATTTTTATCAAGTCGTTGCTCTGCAAAAAATCTAGAAAATGTACTCATTTTTCGAGATTTCAAATGGGTATGTCCCCTTAAGTGGATAAAGAAGAATATAAAATAAAATAAGAATTGTTCAGATGATTTAATCGAGCGGAATTCGTTCGTCTTGCCTGGTCGATTCGGATAACCGATAGTGCAATTTTTCTTCTCCTCGTGGTCTCCCTCGCTCCCCCCTTCTCTTCCGCCCCCTCTATCCGGCGTATTACTACAATTGATCCCGGTACATTAGTTACGGGAAGTAATATATCTCTGCTGCTGTGCCATTTAATTACAGACACGCAGCTTCGAGAGCGGCTCATACAAAGTAACGCTCGGTCTTTTGAGAGCGGCAAGTATTCCCTAATGAAATTAGTCAATAAATCCATCGCCCGGGGATTGCTGATAAGTATAAACTCGAATGCGTGCCAATTTTATCTCGCTCATGAAGTATTAATGGGCGTCGACGTCGTTCTACTCTCGCGCGCGACTTTGACACTTGCCGATTCGCGAAGTTTCCAAGTCGCAAAGTTAACTTGCAGTTACTGCGATATTAAAAGCTAATACCCGAAAGCTGCAAGCTCTGGAAATCCGGGGCTAAACCCGGAATTACGTTGCATACATACCGGATACGTGCCCCTCCCCAATGTCATAATGGCAGATTAAATGTATTTGTGTTATACAACTTTTATGATATCTGCATTTTGAGGCACAAATTGGAGACACGAATAAATCAAATGCGCATATTTATAGAAAATTACTACCGTAAATTTTAAATATTAAATATTGTTCTCCCAGAGTATCTACTCAAATTCTATAAAAAAAATTCTCTGATCTTCCAAGTATTTTTGTTCTAAATTCCAGGTAAAGAAAATATTTTAAAGATTTTTTGGTGCAACTTCCTAAAATAAGTTTTTTATTGTATGCATTTTTTAAATGTTTTTCATTCATACGAAGGAAAAACACAGAGCCTCTTAAGTTTCAAGTGCTAGATTTGTAAATGTACTGGAAAAAAATGAATAACTTTTGTAAAGATAAGCATTTTTCACTTGCATAAAATCGTAATTTTTTTATTACTAAAAATTACAATAAAAAATTGTACTACATATTCAATATTTTGTTAAGACATTGAATATATATAAACAAACATAAATATATATTTTAAACACATAATTTACTTAGCTCGCCGATAGTTTACAATATAATAACAAAATTATCAAATAGAGAATTTTTTTTAGAAATTCCCTGAGTCCCAATAAAATTCCATGAGAATTCCCTGATTTTTCCAGGTAAAAAAGAAATCCCTGAGAATTCCAGGTTTTGCATGTTTTTCAAGGGACTAGATACCTTGTTTCTATTATTTTATTCTCTCTATTTTCCAAATTTTATTCTGTAGATAATTCCACGATGATTTTTACCTTTTATCGCATATCGGAGATCGGAGGTTGAATAAACGTCTTTGTAGCAACCTGTTTATTGATCATGGAGTTCATTGTTTCATCGGAAGACGCTTCTAAGCGCAATATTACACGTTACAACGATGCTTATGTGTATATATTCCGTAATGCAGCGATTCACGAGCGCACCTCGTAATTTCGCCGGAACTTCTTTGCATAAAGACGCGGGACACGAGGCGACATTTTACACGGCAATTTTCACCAAGCGCACGCGTGCGCGAATCCTTGCTACGCGAAACACCGTACCAAGTTATCTGTCTTACGAAACGCGATGAAAGTTTCAACGGCGCAATTTAAAGTTGGCCTATCGCGACAAGCTGCGTCGCAAGGAACCCTTTATCCCCCTAAGCAAACTCAAAGTATATCTATTTCAGGTTGTTTACTCATTTGTGACACGTAACTTCTTTAGCACGCTATTGTTGTTCGCATTACACGCCGCTCATCGTGTGGTACACGCACGTGCGATAAATTCTCACGTAATAAAGGAAAAAAAAGAATGGAATTAAAATCGTGATTTTCTCCCTCTCTAGCCTCTGGCATTTATATTGGAGATTTTTACGCAGTCACGCAGTCTACGTGAATATAATAAATCTAAGATTACAACCGCTTTTAATCTCGACAGAAATATAATTGAAGAAGTTTAGAATTTTATAAACATAAAATTTGGTTAGAATGGTGTAAAACGACACGATGATTTGCGCTTTTTTCCATTACGTCTCGCAGCGAAGAGTCTTAGGCTTTAACTTTAGCCTCCTGTCAACTGTCATTACAATGTTACAGCGCAATAACCGTGTTCTTAATGCTTTGATCTCGAGTTTCATTGTACAGGTTTAATTACGTATGAACGCCAGAGTCTTCGGCCTCAATAAAAAGCGTCGAGCAAATGAGATTATGGATCGTCGGGATGAAAATTATGAAAATTTAGTACAAGCACTCGCACGAGAGCAGTTTCACATACTCGGATAGCCTGCAAAGTGTTGCCGGATTCGAGTCAAAACTAGTGCTCGTGAAAGATTAGAAAATCCGGCGATTTTAAAAATCCATTTGGTTAATCCCCTAACTATCATAAATTCAAAAAGCATGGAATATATATTTTTACGAGACAGAAAAGTCGAA